AAAAAAAAAAATTGTCCAACGAATACAATAGAGTAAAAAACGTGCCTTCATTCGTTCACCCCCAAATTGCGTATGCGACACGGCTGTACCTGCATGCAGATATTCCAATGCTTTATGTACTTTTAACCACCTGCCCCGTTAGGCCAACCATAAAGGATAAAATTAACCGAGACAGCAGACCGACATGGGATGACTTGAAGGACAGAATTAAGAACCAAGAAGGAAATAAAATGTTGGAGGAATATGAAAATGCTAAATATGTGGAGGAACTTAACAAGAACAGAGCGGAAAGAATAAAGCAGCAGGAAAAGAGATACATAAAGAAGCTAAAAAAGGAGTATAAAAATAAGCGAAAGAATAAAAGTGACAGTGGAAGTAGCAGCGAAGACAGTTCTACTTCCTCAGAGGATGACTCGAAAAAGAAGGAGAAAAAGGGAGAGAGAGAAAAAAAAAGAAAAAATCACAAACATTCGAGTAAGCATAAACGAAAAGAATCCCATTCTAGTAGTGAAGACGGGCATTCAAGCGACTCTTCTTCGAGCCATGAAAAGAAGAAACGGAAAAAGAAAAAAAAGCGTTCCCTGTCTGAGTCCAGTTCAAGTGACTCCAGTGGCCGTCCGCGCAAAAAGCGAGAAAAAAGTGTAAGTTTTTGTGCGCACACGTAGAAGTGTAAACGTGTGCATGTATGCTTGATTAAACATGTGTTGTGAAAGTCAGCAAACCTTTGCGCTTTGCCAGTAGGCGCATTTCTGCGTAGCTGTCTGCGCGGCTGAGCAGCGCTCGATGCATACCTTCCCTTGCACACCATTCCGTGCAAACGCGCGAAACATGTTCTCACCGCTGCTTCCCTTCCGCAGGACGAGGTAAATCCCTATAAGCTATCGAGCTTCTTTAAAATGAAGTGAAAGAAGAATGAAAGACGAGAAGCCTTTTTTGAGTTTAATTAAAAAAAAAAAAGTTGCAAAAGGGGGAAAAAAAGTAGCAAAGTTTCGGCAAAATGTGAGCAAAAAAAATTGGCAACAACGTGGACATATTTAGGCCATAATTGGGCAAAAATTTTGACCATAATTTGGCCATAATGTGGCCATAATTTTTTAAAAATATTTTCAAGATGGCAATTAATTTTTTTTTTTTTTTTTTTTCGTTTGCATCAAATTAAAACTAAATTTTTTTTAATAACGTAACGCTATTTGTGAGATTTTAAAAAAAGATTTTTGTATTTGTGTCCGATTTGCGCGTCTTTAATCTAATTGGTCCAGATCATCCTAACAGGAAGAAAAAAAAAAAGATCGGTTAAAAAATGTGGCCATACCATTCATGCACAATGTATAAGTATGCATGATGGAAGGGAGGGGTACAATATATATTTGTAGATGACTCAGTTTATGGGGGCTTATGCGCACGCGTGACATGCCACTGCTTCCATTTCCCCTCGGGTGTTGCGAATATATGTACAGCGCAAAAGAAGGTTTGTCTTCAGCGCGTTGCGCTCTACATATATTAGCCACGCGGCTAATCAATCGTTGGGGCCGAGTAGAAATACATACCAGTTCGTCCATAAAGAGGTCGGTGTTAATTGGGACATCATCCTCTCGTTTGACTGAAGCATCAGGTGTGTAGGGGGGGGGAACAAATGTATGTGGTTGTACGTAAACATATAAAAGGGGTAAGAATAACAGGCCCCTTATTGGGGTAAGAAGCCACCAAGACATATATCCCCACAGAGTAAAGTGGGGTACAAATGCCAAGTCCACAGGGGCACATAGAGATGGCCTTACCATTTTCATCGACTTCTCCATTCTCGTAATTCTTCTTCTCCGGAGTCTCTTCCTTCTGATCATCATCATCATAAAACAAATCATCATACTCATTCGTATTCGCAGCATTGTCATCATCAACAAATAATCTGTACGGGGATGGGGAAAAGAAATATGGGGTACACATTGTAAACGTAGAATAATATATTGTGGTAAACGCCGCAATAAAAAAAACAAAAAAGGGACGATGCTATATACACTGATGGTGGGGAAGAGACTACATTTGAGTAAACAAAAAAAGCGCAAACAGCGTTACACACAACATATATTTGTGCACAAATGTGTATGCACTTTTCCGTGAGCACAAGGAAGTTTCTTACGTTGGGTCGTAGGTAAATAGCTCCTTCCCGGAGAGCACGTTGGTCTTTCCTTTCTTCTCCGTTTTGTCCTTCTGTTCGTCTTTCTTAAGCTTATTCTTTTCGTCCCTTTCAGCTAACCATTTTTTGAATATTTCCAGGGTCACCGCGGTGCCGTTATTTATAAATTGGGTTCTCTGCAAAAAGGGGGGGCAATTTACATTAGAGTTGATGTTATGCGTGGAGAGCGTGAAAAGTGGGTGGGGTCACGTCTGAAATGTTTCAAATTGGCTCAAAAAATTTTGACGGTAGAAAAAAATGGACTGATGGTAGTAATCCATTCGTGCTTTATTCTGGAGAAGCCATTCGAGCTTTACCTCCTCCTCTATGATGTCCTCCAGGGGGATGTCGTCTTTGTCATTTTCGGTAGGCTCTGGTTTTTTTAATACATATCCTGCGTTTGGGTGAAAAGGGGAGAGCAACAAAGTCGATAATTTTTGCGAAACGGAAAATTATTTTTCAACAAAAGGAAAAAAAAAATTTTAAACATGTCAAACGGGTTAGATCATCTGAGGTTACACGTTTTGCCAGTCCCTCGGAAATGTTCATTTTATTTTTTTTTCTTTGGGGTGTCCATCCCATTTCTAGGCGTTTAATCATTTCCTTCCATTTTGTTCTAACCTTGAGGGAGGCAGTGCTTATACTTGCAGTTGTCTCCTCCGTTGGGACAGACCCAAAACCATCCGTATTGCTGCGAGGGTGTGTGTGTGCGTATGCATGTATGTATGTGTGTGGGGGATCATGTTATTACGGTTATGACATTTGCGCCATCCATGCAGTGCGGTGTATCTCGTGTAGAGCAGAACGGCAGGTTGGTAGCGTAATATGTACGCAAATCGGAGAACGTGTTTCTTCTTTTTTTTCCTTCTTTTTTCCGTGTTGTCTCCCTACATACCTTATTTTCGACCGCACTCAAGAAGTACTTGCAGATAATGTCGGTCTTGTTAATATTTTTGTGTCTTATATTTATGACCTCGTTCAGCTTCTTTATATCCCACTGATCTATGGTGTCATTTTCTTTGTCATTTTTGTTATCCCGAATGTCTGTGTAGATGTCGATTTTTTGTGACTCCTTGGACTTCTTCGGGTCGTATGTGGATGAATTTTCGTTAATCTTTTTAACCTTCTCAGTTTCTATAAGGGGGAAAATAAGGGGGTAAAAAAAAAAAAAAAAATTTAAAAAAAAAAAGGGGAAGGAAAACGGTCACTAAGGCTTGATGGGGACGCCGTCTAATAAGCCATCCACAATATATACATTTTGAGACATTAAAATTTTCCCTACTTTGGTATATCGAATTGAGCAATAATTTTTGCTGATTTAGTTTTTCCTTTTCCTTTTCTTCTTTTTTCTTTTCGTCTGGTTTTTTTTTCGTCTGGAAGACTTGCTGCTGAACGCCTTTGATGTACCTGTGGTGGTGCATAGGTGGTGTGGAGACGTACATGAGCACGGTGCTTATTCGCTGCTGCCATGGAACTACGCATACACGCACATGGGGCTAATAAGCACCAAAAGAACTCATTCTCATATTATCATGAAGTTGCCATGAGACAAAAAAAAAAACTCGAGTACGTACCTTTGGACACTTTTACTTTTGTTTTTGTTTTTCAGCCCAAATGTTTTATCTTCCACAATTTTTTGTTTTTCTTTTTCTAATTTTTTCGTGTTTTCCTTTTTTGGAGGCATTTTTGTTGAGAACAGCTTGGCGAGAGGAGTAGTGGCAGGGGGGGGAGGCGGAGGCGACACACGCAGAAGATTTACAGACGCAGGAGCACAAGTGCAAAGCTACTGCTGAAAATCCGGCACGTATGGTATACTCACGTGTGCCAAGAGTTATCTGCAAAATAATATTTTCGCCTAACCTTTTGGCAACTCAACATTTCTGTCCTCTTTTCTTGCCCGTCGCGCCCAGATCACTCTCACACCCCCATAATCGGTTAATCAAAATGGGGGAGAAAAAAAAAAAAA